TGCTGATCTACGACACCCGAGCTCCAGCCATGACCCACCACAGCAACACCTCCACAGCACCTGCTCGCACCTCCCAGCCCAGGAGCAGGAGTCCCTGGTCAGGCCTGGCTTCTCTTCCTCATGCCTGCACCCAAAACCCTACACCAGGACCATGCTGCCCCCAACAGCCTGCTTAGAACCACCTCAACCCCCTGCAGCAGCGCCCAGCAATGCCCCCACCCTCCCGATGGGAAAACACAAAGGGGAAGTTGAGAGAAAACCCCAGAATATGCAAGTTAGAAAATGCAAAGTTTCCACCAAAGCTCCTTTCCTCTTTTCTCCTTGAATGCAGCTTCTCCTTGCGTGCAGCAGATGCCTCCCCTCCTCCTTCCCCTTTCAGGGCTCTCGCCCCAAGGGTGGTGGGACCAGGAGCCCAGCTGAGCCCCCTTCCCAGCAGCTCACAACAGGCTTGTGCACTAGGAATGGGATGCTGGGGGTCTCCAAACCACAAGCACATGGGACACAACAATTTCTCACTCTTTCAGGGCAAACCTGCCTCCCACCTGCCACCCTATTTTCTTTGACTTGGATTTCAAACTACCTGGAAGGGGAGCGTGATCCTCTCACCTCCAAGATCATGGGGAACTTAGGGGCTCTGACCCTGTAATCTGCTCTATCCTACACTCCAGAATTAGCCAAGGGTTTTAGAGCCCTGGAAAGCATCACCTGACAGTTCCCATGTAGGTGGGAGCACCCTTGCAGTGCAGACCCAGAGCACTTCCAAGCCCAGAGCAAGAGGCAGGAGCTCGATCTGGCAGAGCCTGCCTCCCTCCCGTTATTCAGTTTAATTTGGGAGTAAAATAATCCCAGTTCTCACTGCAGTGCAAGTTTTCCATGCCGGTGACACATTTTTTTCTATATTCCACCTTTTGAAGTATTCGATACTGAACAGATTGCAAGAGGCCGGGGTTTAATTCAGGAGAGGCTGCTTAGATGCTTCCCGATAAAAATAGATTTTTTTTTTCCTCCGAAGGAGCCGGATAAGGAGCTCTGGGATGGCTGTGTGCTCCAGAAACAACGTGCAGCTGGTCACCGGCATCCGAAGCCCCACGGTCACTCAGTGAAGGAACAGGCCGATGGGCATGAGAACCCCAAAATAATCCTGCTGGAATTTCACCTGCAGCGCTGCTGCCGGTGGCGGAAACTAACAGGTGCTGCCTATAAAAGGCCTGGAATCTGCTGTTTAGGGAAGCCAAGGAGAGCCCCAGGGATAGCTGTCAAGCCCCAAGCAGACCCCGGGGCGCTCAGGGAGGGCTGTAGTAAAAGCTGTGCTTTACATCCGTGACATCAGAGGAAGCCTCGGCTCACACACAGCCACCATTTCCAGGCTGCCCTCCTCCAGCATCAGCAGAAATTCATCCCAAGAGCCAGAGACCCAGAACCAAACAGAATTCCCCTCTGGAAAAGGCTCTGGGAAGCGCAGCTGAAACCCTCCGTGGAGACACGGGAGGGCTCTGCGGGGCGCAGGTTTCACAACAGGACTTTGCTGCTTGACTTCCCAGGATCTCAATGCCTTTGCCCTACAGGAAGGTCTCCTGCAGGACCTTTGCCTTTCCCCTCTGCTTCTGCAGAAGCTGTTGGAGCAGCCAGCAGCAGGAGCCTGGGCCAGCTCTGCTGGAGTTCAGCTTAGTTTGAGCCGTGGCCCAGGAGGGATTCACCATATGGGGGGGAAAAAAAAAAAAACAAACACGCCCTGCATGCTTGCACCTGAAATGAGGGATGCCAACCACCCCACAACCCAGGGCTTTCTGCCCCGGGGTGGTTCTTTTCCCATGGCTGGCTTGAATAAAACCGGGGTTCTTACTCCAAGACCACATTTCATTGAGCTCGGGAGCTTTGCTGGAGCCATTCTTTCTCTCACTGGGAAGCCGCGCTCACCGCCAAAGTCTTCTTGGCTCTCAGCAGCCGGAGTTTTCAGCTTGGGGCCAACACTTCTCAGTTGTGATCAGGCGACTCAAAGCAAGGAGTGTTGTGCTGAAAGCATTTGCTTTCTGCCCAAGTTTGCATCCAACTCTTCGCTCAAGTAAAGCTTCGGTGGTAAATATTTCCAGTGGGCATGGGAGAAGGTGGTTTTCCCTCACGGAGCCTGGGCTGGGCTGTTTGTTGTGGGATCTGGCTGGGAAGGGTGGGAGTCGGACAGACCAGGCAAAAAGCTCAGCAGCGAGACGCTCCTGGAGGTGTATCACTATTGCCCTGGGTTTGCCCCAAAAACCTTGTCCCTCCACTGGCAGGAAGGAGAGCGATTCCTTTGCCATTAACACCCAAAATGAAATATCCTAGAAATGAAACATCCTTGAAAGCAGCCGCCACCACAGGGCTTCGTTTCTGGTGGGACCAGAGACTTCCCACTGCCGAGAAGGGAAGGGAAACAGATGGGGAGCAGCACTCTCTGACTGGCTGAGTCCTCAGCATTTATGAGGGACTGGTGGAGACATGAGCCCTGGGGAGGGCTGGGGAACCCTGAGCAAGAGGTAGCCCGAGGCTGGGTGGTGCCCGTGGATGGTGCAATCCCACTGCTTTGGTGACCAACAGTTGGGTAGAGAAAGAGCCCACAGGGGGTAGCAAGAAAAACAAGTTCCTGGCAGAGGAGACAGGCAGCGCTCACCAGAGCCTCCCCATGCCTGCTCCACCACCATCTCCGAGAGGGAATATGGGCTGCTTGCTGAGATTTGCCTCTCCCATAGCTGGCAGGGGGTGCTCTCAAATGGGTGGGAACAACATGCCTCTTCATGCCCCTGCCGAATTCCCTGTCTCGCTGGGAAAGGGAATGTTCACCCGCCCGCCTTGAAGTTTGGTTTGAGAGGAGCCGCCGAGCGAGGGCCCCCCGGGAGCCCCTTGGCCATTGCCGCGCTCTAGGTCATCCCGGGAAAGGTCAAACCAACCGTGCGCGGAGAGGCGGCGTCATGTCGCGTACCGGAGGTGTGCGGGAGCGGGGAGAGGCGAGGATGGGGGAAAGGGAGTAAAGGGCAGGGAGAGAAGGAGGGGACAGGGCAGAGGAGAGAGGAGCAGGGTGGGAAAACAGGGCAAAGCAGAGGAGAAGGAGAGGAGCAGGGTGGGAAAAGGGGGAAGAGGGAACAGGACAGAGCTAGGCAGCAGGGTGGGAGGGAAAGGGGGAAAAACAGGGCAAAGCAGGGAGAGAAGCTTGATGAGAGGGAGAGAGGAAAAACAGGGCAGAGGAGAGAGAAGCAGGGTGGAAAAAAAAAGGGAAAACAGGGCAAAGCATAGGAGATGAGCAGGGTGGGAAAGGAAGGTCCAGGACAGAGCAGTGGAGCAGGGTGGGAGGGAAAAGGGGGAATAGGACAAGGAGAGGAACAGGGAAGCAGGCAGGAGCCATGGCTTACCGGGCAGAGCGAGCAGCAGCAGGCAGGGCAGTGCCCAGGCGGTGCGGCCGGGATCCCGGGGATGCAGCTCCATCGGTGCGGGGAGCGGAGCCCGCGGCTTCACAGCGCGGCCCCGCGCCCGGCTCGGCTGCTGGATTTGATATATAGGAAAAAAAAATAATTAAAAAAAAAAGGAAAGAAAAAAAAGAGAGAGAACTGCAGCTGGCGAAGCAAATCGCTGTTCTCAGCCCCAAAATGAGGAAGGAGGCCGGGCTCCCCCTCCTTCCCCCCCCCCCCCCACCGCCGCTCCGCGGCGGGCGGGCAGCGCACACGCAACGCACCGACACGGACCCGCACCCGCGGCCCCGCCGCCGCCCGTGGGCACCGGGCCGGGCTCGGCTCCGCTGACGGGGCCGCCGCGGCGGGGCCCCGGGCGGGCGCGTGCCCCGGTGCCGCGCGGAGCCGCCTCCCCTCCGCCGCCGCGCCGCCTCCCGCCGCCGTTGCCGTGGTACCGGGGAGGGACGGGGCTGGCCCCTCTTTCGAGAACCCCCTGGCTCTCAGCAGCCGCGGTTTAGCTCCGCTTCCCCCCCCCCACCCCCGGTGGCGGGGGCGAAACCAGCCCCGCCCGCCCCGGGGCAGAGTTCTCCGGTCACCCCGGTGTGCGGCTGCCTTAAGGTGGGCTGGGAGGGGACCCCCGGGACCGCCCGCCAGGAGCCCCGGGGTGCCCTGTCCCGCTCCACCGGGGCAGATAAAAGACGGTTCAGTGGCCCCAGGGCTGCGGGGAGGGGGATGCGGGTCCTCTGACGCGCCACAGGCTGCCAGTGTGGCCGCTGCTTTGCCACTGCCACAGCCCAGCATCCCTGCGCTGGGATCGGGGTGCAGGGGCACAGCCTTCGGGGGTCCCGAACACCCAGGGACCACCTGGGGCCGGGCCAGGACAGCCTGTAGCAGAGGCACAAGCAACACACAGCCTTGGGGGTCCCAAGTGTCCAGGGACCACCCAAGGGAGCACCCAAGGCTGAGTGAGCCGTGAAAGCCCGTGGCAGAGGCACGAGTGGTGTTCTGCAAGTGCCACAGGGACTGGTCAGCTTGGCCCGCGAGGGTCAGAGCAAGGAGGGGACACTGGTGCAGCACAGGCAGTTGGAGGGAGGATGGAGAGGGAGAGGAAATTCCTGCACAGCACACTGGGAGCATGGGGACATCCCTGTGATGTCCCCTCAGCTGGAGCCTGCGGCAGGGAGGGGCGAGAGCCTGAGGACGAGGCAGCTGTAATGGTAGACAGGGCTGAGGAGGAGGGTGTTTTGGTGTCAGCATCCATGAGATGCGTGTCCCTGCACTGCCCTGCTTCTCCCTGTCAAAAAGTCCTTCCCAGAGGAGGCACAAGGACACATTCTCCACTGCCTGCACCTGCCACAGCTTCTACTGCCTGTGGGTACTTCACAAGGCCAGGACAGGTACCTGGGGTGAAGATGCAATGCTGGCAGCTCCCATGCACCACCCTGCTGTCCCCTCTGCCCTCTCAGGGGTGAGGTAGACACTGTGCAGAGCAGGAGCTCCCAGCCCACCCAGCATCACCCCCAGCAGCACCGATCACACTGACCGCTCTCCTGCTCCGGGCCGGGTCCCCGAGGGCAGCACCAGGTGCCGTTCTGGGGGACCGCCTGCCAGCTCCCCCCTCCTTCCCTCCCTCTCTCCCTCTCCAGGCAGCCGCCGGGGCTGTCGGCTTTATTTAGAGCCTCGCACAAACACACAGCCGAGATATCTGAAGTGACTTGGCACCATCAATCTGCGCACGGCGTACGCCCGCGCATCCCCGGCCCCGCCAGCCTCCCCCTCGGCCCCAGCTACACCCACAGGGCACATCCAGCCTTAATTTAGCGCTGCTGGGAGCCAGGACCAGCTCCCCAGGCATCTGCACTCACCTCCCCCTGGGACACACCGGCAGCTGGAGGCTGCACTCAGGGGCTGCAGCCAGCGCTGCTCCCACTGGAGGAGGATTAGTGGCCAGTGCTGCTCCTGAGCAGCCTAGTGCAACCTTCATTTCCCTTCACACAGCTGGCCAGAGTGGGAGCAAGGAGCAGGGATCCAGAGGAGCCCTTGGATTTGGTCTTTTGAACATGAGGTTTAATTGCCTTGCACAGGGATGGGACATGGGGACACGTCCCCACAGTCCACAGGTTCCCTCACAAGAGGAAGCAGAAGGGCATGTGCAGAGTTCTGCTCTCTGGTGACCAGTGACAGGACCCAAGGGAACAGCATGAAGCTGTGTTAGAGGAGGTTTAGGTAGGATATTAGGAAAAGGTTCATCATCCAGAGCTTGGTTGGGCATTGGAACAGGCTCTCCAGGGAAATGGTTGCAGCACCAACCTGAGAGAGCTCAAGGAGCTCAATGCTCTCAGGCACATGGTGGGATTGTTGGAGCTGCCCTATGCAGGGCCAGGACTTGGACTCGATCCCTGTGGGTCCCTTCCAACTCAGGATATTCCACGGGATTAGCAGCAGTTTGTGGAAACCTTGCAGCTACCCCATGATGGGCAGTGCATCCCACCGGGCCTGAGCCCAGAAGGAGGGACCCTTGGAGCAAGGGGGTTCCCAGCAGGAGGGAAGGTGCCAGGGACACGCTGCAGCCATTCACAGCCACCTTTCCTGGTTATTTTTACATGGAAGCACAGTTCCTGGGGCCTGGCTGCCTTCAACCTGCCTGGGCTGTTCTCTCCTGCTCGGCGTTAAAGGTTCAGACAACCTGTTTCGAGGCGATTGCAGAGCAGAGCCAGCCTGCACACAGGCAGTAGAGCGCTCGGGAAGGGAAGTTAGAGCTTAAAAAAAGCTCTGCAAGAGAAGGTACGGCGCGGAGCAGATGGTGCGGCGCGAGCTTCCCCGGGAAGAGCTGCTATTGCTCCCCATTAGGAAGCATATGGGCAGGCTCAGCTGCCTCCCCTGCTGCCCACGGCCCTTCCACTCGGCATTGCAAGGGCCCTGCTCCAGCACAGGGGGTTTTGGAGGGTGCACCCCAGCAGGGCAGCACCTGCCTCGTGTCAGCCGGGGAGAGGAGCGTTCAGCTCCTTGTGCGCCCGAGGTGGAGGGAGAACGCTGAATTTTGGGAGTGCAACGCTGCCATCACCACCACCATCCTTCTGCACCGAACACCCACGAGCGAGCAGGAGGCTGTGGCGCCGCTTGGCAGGGCGGGCAGCACTGCCAGGCTCTCGGTGCTGCCAGGGCTGCGCTCGCTTTGCAGCATCTCAGTGCTCCAGCTCAAAACCGCTGCTCCCACAGGGGGGATTCCCTAGACCCTGGAGGATTCCAGATTCTGGCTCTCCCCGGCCCTGGGATCCAGGCAGCAGCCAGCACAGGGATGGGGCAGCGTTCCAGGGGAGCTTTTCAAGGATAAGTTGATTTTTGCAGCTTTGAGGCACAGCGAGGAACTCGCGTCATGCCGCCAGCGCCCGTCTGGGGAAGGCACGTGCTCCATGTGGTGGGTCTGGGCTGGGCTCAGCCACTCCCACAGGTTTGGGTGCTGGGGGGTGGCTGGGGAGGGCAGGGCTCTGCTCTCCTTCCCTGCTCCCAGCTGGGACCAGGGGCTCAGTGTGCTTTTGCATTCCCCCATTTCCAGCTGGGCAGCGGAATCTGCCCCGTCCCCAGGAAGGGGTGAGGATCCTTCCCCACGCAGGGACCCCCAGCCAGGGCAGCAGCACCCGTCAGCATCCAACAGGGACAATTAGAGCCTCGCCAGGGTGATCCCAGTGGAAAGTCTTGCAGCACTGGTTTTGCCCAGACTGTTCTTTCATCCCTTAAGCAGCTGCCTGTCTGATCCTCTCCCGGCCCCTGAGGGACAGCGGTGGCTCACTCAGCTGGAGGGAATTCACAGGGGATGGAGATGGGAAAGGTTCCAGTTCCTGCCCTGCAGAGCCAAACCTGGGCCTGTTAATGAGCCACATTTCACTAAGGATGGAGGGTCACTGCAGGTCTTTTCCTGCCTGGGAATTTCTCCCTCAGGATCCCCACTCCAGCATAGGATGGTGGAATGGGAAGGGTACCAATAGCTTGACTGACCACACCATACCAGGGCACAGCAGCTGTCCCAGAGGGCTCAGTCCAGACTCAAAACCCAAACCAGATGAGGGATAATGGGAAAAAACACCAATACTTTGGACATCAGCCTGGAAAACACCCAAACTCAGCACCCAGCAGTGCAGTTCTGGAGCTGAGGGCACAAAGCCGTGCCCAAGCATCAGCGAGCAGCCAGCACCCGTGAGAGCCCTCCATAATAATGACTCAATGATCTTAGAGGTATTTTCCAACCCCAACGATTCCACAATAAACACAAATGACACAATGCACGCCCCCACCAAGGCACGTGGGGCTGCTGGGACTTACTGCCCCGGGCAAGCTCAGAGCCACCCAGTTGTATCCTGGCCCAGTCCCAGCCCCAGCACCCTGAGAGGTGCTGCTTTCACAGCTCACCACAACAAAACACCATGTGGGACCACATCAGAGCACCAAGCCCACACGAGGCCTGCTCTGGTACCTGCAAGCCAGCACAGCCTCCCCAGCACATGCATGGGGCTGGGCACGTTCACCTCATCCATCCTCCAGCTCCAACCCCAAATTTCAAGAGCCCTCCAGCTTAAGAACCAAGTGGACACATCCTACAGCCCCCTCCTGCTTCTCCTCACCAGCCCTCAGGCTTCAATCAGAACTCACAGAGGGCTTTTAGCTGGGAGAAAAACAAACAAATTTCTCCTGAAGTTGGGAGCACCAATTACACTGCTGATATTTAGGGCTTCCAGCACAACAAATGGAGCTTCAGCTTCATTAGGTACGATGCCAATTTAGACCAAGACATTCAGTACAGGGGAAGCTTAAATTAGTTTATCTGATGTTAACTTATAACAAGCAATATGGCAATGCAGGGATAGAAAGAAGTGACCTGTGAGCTGTTTGCATGGACCATGACCCATGGAAGGAGCACGCAGAGCCCTCCAAACACCGATTTAAGAAGCAGGAGGATGTATCCTACCTGTTTCCTCATGCTCCTGTCGCAGCACCCACCACCATGAACACCATGCAGCTGGGAAAGAGGGGAGGGCTCCTAATCACCCCCTTTTATGGGAGAGGCCCTGGGGAGGGTGATGAGCTGCAGGGGCTTCA